AGACGGGGCGCGGCTGTGCGTCATAGCGTCAGAAATTCTGCACTGCTGTAAGACGCGCATTACAGGTCGATTGGCGAAAACCGCATCGGACACGTGTAAATGGCACGCGTGCACGACTCTCCGCCGATCCACATGTACAGTACACGAAATGACAGGTGTCCACGTGTGTGTGTCCGAAATGATTCCGGCTTACAGACACATTCCCTCCAATGAGCAGCGCGCCTCGATTCCGTCCAGTCCTCTCCAGTCTTGGTCCTGTTGCCACCGCCAACTCCGCCACCGCCGCCGACCCTCTTGATCCATCCAATTCTTTACTAACGTCCCGTCACCGGTCTGCATGCAGTCCGTCTTCTCCGCCACGCCGCAATGAGCTACGCCACCGCCACGGCCTTGCGCCGCCTGTTGACCACGTCCTCCCGCCAGTCCTACCTCCGCCAGAGCCCCTTCCTGCGCCCGCTCTCCTCGTCGGCCCGCTCCTCGCGCGCCGCGCCCGACTACTACGCCACGCTCGGCGTGCCGCCCACCGCCTCGCAGGCCGACATCAAGAAGGCGTACTACCGCCTGGCCAAGTCGCACCACCCGGACTCGGGCTCGGGCTCCGACGCCTCGGCCTTTGCGGATCTCTCGCACGCCTACGAGACGCTGTCGGACCCGCGCAAGCGCCAGCTCTACGATGCGCACGGCCCCGAGGGCGTGAACGCCGCGGACGCCAACATGCACCCCGGCGGCCCGGGCTTCGCCGGCGCGGCGAACGTCGAGGACATCCTGCGCGAGTTTGGTCAGTTCTTTTCCGGCGGCGACGCCCCGCGCACCGCCGTCGACGATCCGTTGCCCGGCGAGGATAAGCAGGCCGTCGTCACCCTCAGCTTGCGGGATGCCGCGTTCGGCGTCGTGAAGGATGTGCGTGTGCACGCAAACAGGACGTGCGCCAAGTGCTCGGGGTCCGGGAAGACGGAGAAGACCACGGTTAAGAGCTGCCCGCAGTGCGGTGGGCAGGGACGCGTCCGCCGCAACGGCGGCATGTTCCAGACGGTCATCATGAGCTGCCACCGTTGCGCTGGTAGCGGCAGCGTCCTGGAGGACCCCTGCGGCTCTTGCGAGGGCAGCGGCGTCACCTCGGGTGTCAGGGACAACTCTGTATCGTTTCCGCCGGGCTGCGATACCGGCATGGTGCTTCGCGTCCCGGGCGGAGGAGGTGCTGGAGCGAGGATGGGACCGCCGGGCGATTTGTTCATTCAAGTCAGGGTCGCAGAAGATCCCTACTTTCATAGAGACGGCAGGGACTTGCATGTCGTTGCCCCGATTAGCATTGCGCAGGCCGCTCTAGGGGGCAAGGTCAGCGTCAAAACCCTGGATGGCGAAGAGAGTGTTAGAGTAAGAACGGGCACCCAGCCGGATGACACACACAAGCTACATGGAAGGGCCCTGAGAGGCGTTAATGATCCTAAGAGGGGGGACCAGTTTGTCCACTTTAAGGTTGTTGTGCCAGAAACGTTGTCAGAGAAGCAAGAGGAGCTATTGCAGCAATTATTGGAACTGGAGGGCGGCAAGATCACAAGACCGGAAGAGTGTGATTCGAGGAGCTTGTTGCAACGGTTTCAGCGGTTTTTGAGAGGCACCATTGGAGGCGGAAATTGAATGGCCACGTGATCATCGTTGATTGAAAAACTACAACCACAATTGCCACGGGTGCGGAAGACTGCTGATGGAAGTTGGTGTCTATGTTTACTGCGCGCGCCATTGTCCTATCGTTTGCGTGCCACCGAGCAGAGGGTGGAGACGGCTGGTCGTTGAGGAAGTGCGTCGGATCCGGAAAGAATGTCCCCCTCCCCATCTTGTGTTGCCTCGCATGTTTTATGCACGTGGGGCCGTTGTTTTGGGTCTTAAGAGTCCAGTCCAATCGAGTAGTTGCCGCATACCGTATTACCTACAATATTATTAACGGCAGCGACAATAGCGACGAAAAGGTTGCGCATCTCTTCGGCAGAAAACGCCTCAGACGACCGACTAGCACACAACAGCCTTTCAGAAAACATCCAATTTACTTCAGTGGAACCCGCGAGTCCTTCCTGCCTCTCACAAGAAAAGCGACACCCATGGTTGACAGAAAGGAAGCAAACATTCAGTAGTCAGAAAGCGAGGACCACATGCGTGCTGGTACTGGTGCCATGTGCAATATGTAAAAGTTTAAAAGATTTGCAGAGTCGGTCGGCGATACTTTTGAAAACGTGCCGTGTCAGTCAGTGTCGAGATACTTTGAGGCGCTCTCTCTCTCTCTCTCTCGGTCAATAAGTCTTGTAGTTAAAGTTTGCAAGTTGGTGGTGGGACGGCATTGACGCCGGAGGAACAATAGACGCCGGTAGCGAAGCTGTGGGCGCGACCTGAGGCATCAACCCATGGCCCACCGGCTGTGGTGGGAGGATGGGCTGCCCCAGCGGCGCGGCCTGCACCGGCCTTCTCTGGACCGAGATAGTCAAAAGGTTTTGGAGGATCTCTAGGCGATCTGTGAGCGCTGCGACGGTATCTCTCAAATTCTCATTCTCCCCTTCGAGCGTCGTGACGCGCTTCTCGTACTCGGCCGTCATGTTCTTGCGCCTAATCCGGGACAGCTTGGCGCTCTCGCGGTTCTGCGCCTGGCGCTGCAGCTTGCGCTGCTCTTCCGTAAGGTGCGGGTTCTTCCTCTTGCGGCCGCGCTTCTTCGGTAGCTTGCTGTCGTCCTCCACGTGCGGGTGCTCCGGGTTGAGCCCGATGATCTGCTGCTCGACGCCCGCGGCCGCGGAGCTCGCCGACGGTGTAGCGGGGTTGCCTGGGGCGTTCGCTGACTGCGTCCCGCCGACCGAAGGGTCCTTCGAGAGCGTGCCTGCGGCGGCGGCGGCAGCCGCGACGGCGGCGCCAATCGCGGCGGACGGGTTTGCGTTGGACTTGTTGGTATCAGAGTCGGAATTGTGGCGGTTATTGGTCGGCGAGGGGTTGGTGTTGTCCCCGTCGGGGTTGTTGGTAGGCTTGTCCGGAGGGTTTGCGGGCGAGTCGCGCGAATCGCGTGACGCGGGGGAGCCTTTGGCACTTGCAGCATCATCGGTATTGTGGGTGCTCCCCGTAGCACCGGTGGGCTGCGGGGCGGTCTTACGTATGTCATTGCGGTCCTGATCCAGCTCGCCTTCGCTATCGCCGACGTCGTCATGCGTGTCCGGATGAGGAAAGTCGTTCTTTCCGGCTGCGGCGCGATTCTCAAACTCTGAGATGACGTCCTTAAACCAGGTGTTCTCCCTTTTCAGGAGGCCGCTACCTCCCGGGTCGGGGGCGCCAATGGCGACGGCCTCAGTAAACCAACTGGTCCTCTTCTTAATCTCGCCGCTCTGTGCGGCGGGGTCGGCGGTATCCGACCTCCAGACGGGGCGGAGTCACTTCGTCCGCCTCGCGTAGACAGGCGGCGCATGAGCTGGTTGGGGGTGGGCGGTGGGCGCGGCGAGCCGGAGGGCTTGGATGAGGAGTCGAACGGGAGGGGCGGGGGCAGGTGTGAAAAGTTGAGGCTCGGAATCTTGGACCTTCCCTTGCGCTTGAGGGTGCGGATGCTCGGCTGTGCGGTGTCATCCGGCGGGGCATTGGGGTAGTCGTCGTTAAAGACCGAGGCGATGAGGCGCTCCATGTCGCGCTCGCCCTTGGAGATGCCTGCGACGACGGCGCAGGCCTTGTCCAGGGCCTCGACCTTCTTGCCGGCGTTGGTGTGCGCCGACTCGGAGATGGTGCGCAGCAGGCCAGAGGCGTGGTCGTACACGTCCGGGATGTGGTAGTCGCCCAGCGTGGCCGAGTCCTTGAGGATGGAGCCGCCAAAGTCGAGGTCCCACTCGGCGTGCGGGCCCGGCGTGGCCGGGGCGCCGCCCGCCCAAGTGTCCATGAGCGGGGTGATCGAGTCCCTCAGCTGGCGGATCTTTCCAGCACACTGGCGGCCGCTCGAGCATGCATCTAGAGGGCCCAATTCGCCCCC